AGCACTATTTACTACTAAATACTGCAAAGTGTTGCACATTTTTAGTGTTTGTACTCTACCTTCAAAACAGTGAAATACTAACTCTTGTCTAGCTCAAAAGATAATAAATTCCTATATTTCATTGGTTATTTTTTTATTTCTTTATTCCTATATGACAACTTTCCTTCAAGTAGGTGTACATTTATTTTGTTTTTTTGCATCTATGTTTACTATATTAATTCATTAAGCCTTTAAATATTGTTTAGCTAAGTTTTCCGTGTTGTTTAGAGCTATCTATTTATCTTAAAAATCCAACGCAATTAGCGCTCTTAGAGTACTGCTTTCAATAACGGTTAAAAAAAAGAGGATATTGGTCGATGTTTAACGTTTATTTCAAAGCTTTATTCAATTAAATTATTGCGTTGATTGTAATCGTTAAATGAATTTTTTTTAAATTGTCGTGAAACTAATATAAACATTAATTGTAATTTACAGATTCATTTGAGAAGTTACAGAATATTTTGAGCTAGATAAAAAGACTCACTTTTTACCGTTAGCGAATACATATGTTCCAATTCCTTCCTTGCGTCCTTTTCTCCACTCTCCATCATAAATATCACCATTATTGAAATAATAAACCCCTTTTCCATGTCTTCTACCATCTTTGTAGCTTCCTTGATATCGTTCAAGATGTACATAGTCGTCTTCGTCAACTTTCAGTTTGTTTGGTTTGTTTTTCGAAGACCTTGTGCTTCTTCTAGCAAATGTCTTAAAAAAGCTCATCACGCACCTTAGTAGAATCTTCGTATCGTATCTTTACAGTCGCTTTGAACAATTCAAACAAAAAATCCGCTTTCACATATATACAGTAATAGCGCTATCGAATTTACAGGCCAAAGAAATATTTTTAAATCGACAATAGGGTCAGTTCCCCGGCCAAGCGAGACGAAAATGTCAATAACTCCTTATATGGAATTGCTAATGTCTTGTTATGTAAGCAGAGGAGGACCAGTGTCTTTGCCGGCTTTTTATTATCTTCTTTGGTTTCAACCGGTTTGTGTGCATCTTTTTTTGTGATTATACTACTGCTACTTATAATAATGATAATACTAACCTACTTTACTACTTTGATAAAGAAATGTTCCGGACTAATTTAGCAAAATAGAGGCTTTGCACCATCACGTGATGGCAGCCATGACAAGACGCACAACATTGAAGCCTTTTTACCCAGGGAAACTGAATTTTTCTCGTGTAACTCAAATTAGGGACCAGCCATTATTTAAGTCCGAGGGGGGAGGGGGGAGGGGGTTGAAAAAGAAATTGTTTTTGATGGGTCGAGTATCCCTAAAACTTTGAGAGTGAAAGCCCAAAAAGGTACCGACTGATTAGGTTTCATCCCGGAGGGGGGTACTCCGCCAAATTTGGGTAGGGGTGTTCCGCTGGGATTCTGAAAGGGGTATCCTGTTTATGACAAAAAAAACCAAATTTGTAGACCCTGTTCATGACAAAAGATATAATTAATTGCACTGAGTTCCCGTTTTAATTATCATGTCATTTAATTATCGTTTTTTTACGACCATAATAACCAGTTTCGGTCAATACGAAAGTAGAATATGACAGTAAACTCAGGAAGAACTTGGAACTTGAGTGAAATTGCATACCCTGTTTATGACAAGAAGCTTGAAAAACCATACCATGTTTATCGGATCATCCCCGTAAAGTCCATATATGGGAGTACACCCCCCCCCCCCCCCGGGGGATTTGATTGATGGCAGCGAAAACCTATTTCAGCTTGTAGATTGCAGACACAGAGCTCGCATGATTATGAAAATTGCAGTAAACAAATGACTGAAAAACAAGAGAGCACAGATGCTAAAACATAAACAGCCAGGCGTTGCTCAGAACCACACTGGGAGCCCAGACATTAGTAATAACACAGGAAACCCAAGACCTTGATTAGTCAAATCCAGGGCAAGCAGGGCAAGCAGGGCAAGCAGGACAAGTACACATGCTTTGGGGCAAAAAGCAAACAGATGCTCTCCTTATAAAAGAAAATACATAGAAAATTTACAATTTTCAGTCAAACTTTTTTATTATTGTAGCAATATTTTTTTACAATTATTAAGTCATTTAGTTTGCATATGTGTGCAATGGTAATGGAATTTATCCCCGTGGATAGTGGGGTAGGGAAGAGTTAACTTTTTTCCCAAACCCACCTCCTGTTGTTCCCTAGAATATCATTTCCGGCTTTGTTTAATGGTCGAGAAGACACATGAATATGAATACAACTGGAACAGATAATTTAATTTGGGAATGACCTCTGGTATGATATGTTTATTGGAAAAACAATTCCGATGAAGAAAGTGTAATACTTTACGAATGACATGTGGTTTAACATGTGAAAAAAAATTTTGACAAAGAAAGAGATAATACTCAAGGGAAGGAACCGTGGGATGAAACATGCACCAGTAAACAAACCTGATTTTTTCGCCTATTCATTGCAAAATAGCAGTTTGTGATGTCAATATCAAATTGAGCCTTTTCATGTGACGTCACAGCAGTCATGTTGGTGTACCAAAACAATATACATACATTTTCCATTCTCTAGGAATTGAACTCTATTTTTATGCAAAAGCTGTGCAGAAAGTTTCTATTGTTTGGTACACCATGGCTGACTTGTCACGTGAGTGAAAACGCTCCATAGGGCAAATGTTTCCTCCACAACCGCATAGCATCATAAACGGCACACGACAATTCAGAATGCCAATTCAGTGCAGATTATACCGAGCCTTTATGGCTTCTCTCTGTCGTTTACTATTTCTTCTTTCAAGCATTTCTTCCTGTTTGGTGAGTAACCTAGGATCTTTCATTTGTGATTTTGAACTTCCGTCATGACAGGATTTGCTTCGTTTTAAGCCCCATTTTGCCCGTACTGAGTCACGCAGACCTCTAGAATCTTGTATCATTTCTTCAGGGTCCTTTTTATCGGGAATATTATATTTGGCTCGAAAGTATTGTTGTCTTCGCATGCTTTGTGCTCGACGAATATCTAGGTTTGTGTCGTCCTTTAATTTGGGTACATTGTTATCTTCATCTTCACTGTCTGTGTTGTGTGTAGTGGGACATGTGGGGTTCTGTACAGAAGACCTGAAAATCAAGAAAAACAAGTTGTCAGATGTCATTTCCGATCAAAACAATCCTGGTCAAGGCTCAGTGGAAATGAAAGAATAATCATAATTACATTATTGTTTCCTTGGAGCAAGGAGCTAAGCAGGGGCGGTGGAAGCTAAAAATCTTTGGGGGGCACTGCAAAAATCTTTGGGGGGGGGCACTGAAGATTATATTTTTACGCTGTGTGAAAATGACAATGTTTTGTTTGATTGCAGACACATGCGCTGTAAAACAATGACTAAGAACCAATATTTTGAGGGGGCCAGGCCTCCCCAAAAAATTTGGTGGGGGGGGCACATTTCCCCCCAGGCCCCCCGGTTCTGCCGCCCCTGCTAAGATATGTTCTGTGCTTGACCACTCAACTTTAATATTACAGGGTTTTACATGACATTATTTCCTGTCTTATATACAGGAGAGCAAAAAACCTATGCTCCTAGGTTATGACCTATCCCTTCTCTACTAAACGATGATTGACTGCATGTCTTGACTACACTCATGCATACTGATAATTAATTTGCAATTAGTCTTGAAGCCCTTGGGCTGTTGTGACTCAACACTCATAGGTAAGAGTACCATACAGGGGCAGATCCGGGATATTTTCTGGAGGGGGGGGGGGGGGGGGGGGGGGGGGGGGGTGGAGGACAAATAAATAAATGCATACAAGCTTGGATATTCAAGTTATATCTATGGTAATGTTTAAAATTTTCAAAGCCGGCTCTTTTGGCTACTAGAAGGATATATAACTTATAGCCCAGTAGTAACTCATTCAATCAGAATGCAGCATTGACAATATAGTACACTATAGTTGGATTTGACTAATGTATGATATCAATAGTACATACAGCTTTATTATAGTACTTGCAAAAAGGTTGTCAAAGAGAAATTGAAAAATAAACTGTTAAGTTTTCCCAGTGTAAAGCTAAATATGAAATATTAGAAAGTTTTAATATTGTTATTTATATCAACTGATTTATTTTAGGTTACAACACCAAAAATTTATAATATTTCAAGAACTTTACACTGGGAAATTTTAGTGTAACGTAAACCATGAATTCTAGCACTGTCTGGCATTTCTCTTAGTATGATCTAGCTGGTTGGGTCACTCGAGTTTGACGTCAATGATAATTTATTCCTATTGGTAAATTTACTAATTTACCTAATTACTACAGGTTTATATTTCAATTTCTCTATGACAACCTTTTTGCAAGTAGGTGTACACATACTGTTCTGCTGACCCACACTGTGATTCAGCCTAGCCACAAAGTGGTGGAATAAACGATTATTATTGTTATTGTTATTATCACTTACTCAACATTGTTTGGTAATGGTTCAGCATCACTATACGACATCCTCTTTTTTCTCATTTTTCTTTTCAGTTTTTCATTTGGTTCATTTCCCACATATTCATCTCTATAAAACCAGCCAACATTCCTTCAAGAAATGAAAAAATATTATTTAGGTAATGTAAATTTAATTAGCATTGTCTGAAATTTAATAGTGGGGGGGGGGGGGGTGCTTCCTGCTTTGAGTTCTTGATCCGCTCATCCAAACTCAGCTAGGGCACAGCTAGCTCACAGATTGAACGAAACAACCTCTGGGTTGATCTAAGTGACAGTATAACTATATCTTGAAAAATCAATTGAATTGGCTTGTGCAACTTTACCAACAATTAACCAATTTTTAAATAAGACCACCCAGATAAATTTTCATACAAATTAGCCAATCATGATTAAGTATTTTTTAAATACAATAGAATCTATACAAATTTTCACATTTTCCTCTTCATACGTGTGTCAGCATGCAATGATCAGGAGAGAACAACAAGCAGCTTAAAATCCAGAATTCACTAATTCATCTGTTATGCAGCGGTTAAAAATGTGATTTGTAAATTTGATTTCATATGTGTTTGGGTAGCCTTAGTAGATGTAGACTCACTATAAAGTAAATCTGTAAATCATTCATTTTATAAAAGTGACAAAAAACTCAAAGTGTTCACAGTACAGTTGAGTATCCTCACTGTGAAATAAAGTAAACTTCTTATATTCTAAATTAAAATTTACGACAAGAAATTTTCCTTGAGAATACTGTAGTCAGGATTGATGCTTTTCTAGTTTTGCCCAGTGAAGGGATCTGCATGCTAACGCATGCATAATTCAACCCTTATAATATTTGATTTTAATTATTCAACCAAGAAGGAATTTTTTCCCCCTCTTTTGTCACTCCTGAAGGCTGTGTCAATACTTGTCAAAGCCATTATTTTCCAACTTGAGATTCATTGGGAGTGTAAATAAGTAAATCCTATACTTAGGATTAAAAATTTGTCTCAAATTTGCTTGACCAGTAAATAGTCTCTTGAAACTTATTTCACCTTCTTGAAAATTTATTCAATTATCATCCTCCAGTTAAACATTAAAGCTAATAACGATTTAAAGTATATATTTGAATCTTATGTCTGACATTGCATAATTTAGGAAACTCAGTCAAAAATATTTCATTTGCAAAATGGGATTTAAATTGATTGAAACAATAATTTTGATAAAATATAAAGTTTGTGATCAAGTTTTCTTAATCGCTATAAATGACTATTCCTTCGGAAATAAAATTGTTCTTGACTTTGTAAATAAAAGGAAGCTTTTGCTTGAAGTTGAATTGGTTAAAACATTTCAAACCCTCAGTATTTTGTCTCTATACAGAATTGATGCGCATATAAAGAATCTATGGGACGTATTTCTTTATTGATTGGCGCAAATATAATCTTTTAAATACGTTAATACAGCCATCTTATGACAATTAATTTTATGCTTGCATAACGACTCAAAGTCCATATATATATATTCTTGTTGCCATTCAAGTTATAATCGACTTAAGAGCTAAATATTTACGTGTTAAATTTCAACGATAAGTATGCTATCGATGTAAATCTAAAATCTAAGAAGACTCACTTTTTTCCATTAGCGAATACATAAGTTCCTCGTCCTTCCTTGCGTCCTTTTCTCCACTCTCCATCATAAATATCACCATTATCGTAGTAATAAACTCCTAGTCCATGTCTTCTACCATCTTTGGAATTTCCATGGTATCGTTCGACGTCCTCGAAGCCTTCATCAATTTCGTTTTCTCTAAGCTTGGCTGGCTCTCCTTTCGAATTATTAGTTCCCATCGCGAGCGACGCTTCAACGAGCTCTAAAGAAAACGTATACAATTTTATTTCCGGGTGATACGATAATACAAATCAATTTGGGGGATTTTTTCCAAAATTGCTTATCGATGGAATATTTCTGACTTTCGAAATCTAAATACGGATAGCTAGGTAGCCTCGCCAATTGAGTTAATTATTAAAAACCTGATTTATCGGTAATTTATGGATTATATTATTGATATAAAAGTAATGATATATGGAGAAAAAACGTACCTCAATGCTGCAATTATGACAATTATTGTGTTTGCTCGACCCGGTGTTTTGAAAGGGTTCGTTTTAGTTGTGTTTTAATTTCTTTTGTCATTAAAGGTGTATTGATTCAAAAGGTCACGTCAACGATAGTTAATTCTGGGAGGCGGTCCTAAGGTTAATGAGAATAAATAATTACATAAATACAGAGCCGCAACATAGATTATCATTTATCATGATCATATGCGCAACAGGAAGGGATTGAATATAGTTCAGGGGGAGGGAGCTAAAAGGTATGCGCTAGGAGGTTCGTTCTTTCGTTCGTTCGTAATCTGTAAGGGAACTCTTTTATTTTCAAGAAAATACCTACGATCTTCGTGGTAGAGAGAAGTGCTTAAAGTTACCGAAACTCAGCACTGAGTTTTTTTAAAAAGAGCTCTCTCTTATGACGGTGCAAAAGTGTTGAACTCGTTACCCCAAAGTGTCAGACTGTCCAATAATTTAAAATCTTTTAAGAGGAATCTTTCGTCTGTTGGTCCTTAACACTTTAATTA